ACTAAGTCCAGATTGACACAGCAGGATATCATCGCTGAGTGTTTGCCTTTTCCCCCATAACCTCTCTAATGAAACCAAACTATTTTATATCTCAAAATAGTCAATGGTTCATCTCACAAGAGAAAAAAAAGAAGGAAAAATCCAGTATTTACAATCCTGTTCATAACTTCTGCACTCAGCTAAAATATTGGTAGTGCTTTATCCCTTGATTACTTGGTGGTGTGTGCCCAGGCTGCCTGCAGAGAAAGGCAGTAGCAGTGAATCATATATTACTACTCTCTGCCTTGGAATACAATGTGCTGAGTGACACTATAATTCACAAGGTTAGAGAACACGGCTCCATATTTGTGCCTGCACACACAGAGACACCCGCATGCACAGTATCAGCCCCACCAAACTCAGTCAAAGACTCTGAATGTGCACATGTTTAATGACCTACTTAGCAACGTGTTGTTACAGCAATGTAATTTTTTCACTAACAAGTAGTGGGATTATAATTTGAAATTCAGCAAGTAAATTACAGTTACTTATTCCAGTAACGCTCCATCACTTTGACATTTTGGGGTTGGCAGTTTTGCTATCTTACTGGGAAGTTGATGGAAGATTGATAATATTTTTCTTGTCTGTTTGTTCAGTTAACAGATGTGTTAGCTTAGTCCAGGTGCTGGTGGTTGGGGAGGAAGCTAATTTGGCAAAAGAGGAGAAAGTTTTTGGTTTAGAGTTGGGCTTCCCTGTAAAGATGGGACTTCTTCAGAGCTGGGTGAAGTCAACGGCTAACATTAAGGTGTTGATGGACAGGCCAGCTGCTTTTTAAGTCACAATGTTTCATTTTCTGCTCTGTTTTCCACATGTTTATACACAACAGATGTGATGTGTGGTCATGGAATGTCAGTCCACAAAGGAGGAAGTTGAGGGTTTTTTTTAGCAGCTTTGCCTTTGACGGAGTAAATTTATGTAGCAGTAATGTAATTAATTATCTTTGCGTAATGAGTAAAGTATTTTTTTTACCTTTTCTGCTGATTTTCTGAAATGACATTAGTCACATATAAAATAAATGTGCAGACTGCAGAGACACACAGAGGCACTGTTTAGCCCATTCTGTCTTTTAAGCTATCACAATTTAATTTACCAAAAATAATATACAGTACAAGCTTTTTATTATACAGTGGAAATCTCTTATAGTGATCACATCCGCCTGGGTCAAATAGATCACTATAAGCGGATGATTATTATAACCAGTTGTTTTTCTTTTTCTTTCTTTCTCATGCAGATTATCACCTAAATCACATTTGTATATTTATTAAATTAATAAAAAGTAATGAACAGTATTGTGCTGTTTACGAATACAGTAGCATTAGTAGTGAAATAGGCTACTAAGCCTCAGCTTGGTGCTGGTTTCACTGCATTTCTACATTTTTAGCAGCCTGAAAACAAACTAACAAACATATTGTAAAATATTCTGAAGTTGTCATGTATGAAAAGACCCAAAATGAACACTTTGAGCGGACTACTTGATTAAAAGCCAATGGTTTAAACAGCATTTTTATAGGAATGATTATGTCCCAAGCTTTTTGATCCATATGAGGGATTGATCGCTGTAACTGTGATCAATATAAGTGGTTTCCATTGTAATAACATAAAACTGATTTTACAGCTGTCACAAACATAACGACTCACTAGTTAGAAAATCCTCGGACTTGCATTTAAAGTGAGGGACATGAGGGGCAAAACAAGGAAACCGTTTTATCATACAGAGAGTGTGGATCAATTTTATATTGTCCTACTGTGGAATCACAGCGGTTAAATGACCTGAGGAGACAACTGCAAAGATAAGACTGGATTCTGTGAGCATGAAGCTTTAATATAATTTGCTTTCTCTGCAAAAATGTAATATCTCTGTATGATAGATAAATCTTTTGCTGACTAATAAAGACCAGGCACAATCATATCTATTTCCACAGTGACATTCACTATTTATTTCTTTATTACTGGATAGCGGCAGCCTCTCCTACCTTCCCCAATGGCTTTACACTTGGCTCTGTTGAATTTTGGTGATTGTGGAACAATGGTGCATACAAAGGCCTCAGGGAGGCCTGTTTTTTTTTACCACAGCACTTCTGGAAAATCAGTTTTGGAATAAATGAGCTATTGGAAAACCCAATGGGTCATGAAAACGGAATCGTCTGTTTTACTTTTGGCCTTCCCTTTTAAAATTAATTAACACTTACCTTACCTAATACCTTTCTTTTTATTGTGTTCCACACACGTCTTTCATTGCCCTAAGTGGATTTTTGTGAAAGAGCCCCTTGACAATGCATCAGTGCTGGCTAATACTTTTTTGTGCTAAATCCTGAAGTGACCCATAAATGTTTCCTCAATAAAAAGTTGCAGGCTAATCTCATGAATCCACATGATGACAGCTGCCTGGCAGGCTATGGAAGTGCCATAACTGCTAATGCATGATGATAGAATTGCATGTTTACTGCAACACAGGCCAAAACAGGAAGCAGCCAGTAGATGGAGGAAATGGTAGGAACCAGGCATTTCCAGTGGTTTTATAGGGCAGTGGTTTGATATTTACCAGAGCAGCAAGGACACGTGGACTCTCCCCTTCGACAAGCTTAGTAATCTATACATATTAAGGATGAATATTCACACATGGGTCTGAGAATGTGTGTTTTGTTAGTTTCCCAGGAATTTCAGGGCATGCAGATATTTGTTTAGCTGCTTTGGTATTGCCTGTTCCCATCCATGGAAACCTTGGTATAAGTTATTTACAAAATAAAAACTCACAACAACAGTCTCTGGATAAAAGCCCTAGTCTGGGCTAATATGCATGGTAACACACATACATATAAAGTACATTGACATAATCTGTGCCTGTAATAATGAATAACTCCTTCTGAATGTAGCATTCACCAAAAAGTAATATGTTTCACATTTTCATTGTCGCAGTGACATGTCTAAATGCTTGCCCTTTTCCTCCCAGATAAGAGGAGGAAATTAGTCATCAGAGGAAAGCAAAGATTTTCAAGTAATATTTCTCTGTCAGAAACAAAAAAACTGCTACCATAAAACAACTTGTACATACACATATATATTATTCATTAAGTATTGTCTTTCAGTGATTTTATAGGAATAAATTTTGACTGTGCTCTCACAAAAATCCTTTGGAGTCTGTGGGCTTCTAAGACAAGAAAGAGATAAAGGGGAGACAGAGACCTTTTCTGGTTTCCTTATATAGACTCCATTGATCAGTCATGACTCATAAATCGCCACAGATACAGTAGGCCTACCAAGTACACAAAACAACATTGTCTGCCGATATTGAGTCTTATCCCATATTTACTCAAATGCTGATTTCATATCTGACACGTTAAAATAAAAGGTGCAAGTTCTAAATATAATCTTTTTTTTGGAATCTTCTAAATTCAATTAATGAAGTCCTGAGAACATATATAAAACCGTTAAAAATTAAAATTTCTCAAACTTAACCCTCCCCGGCTTAAAGTGCCCAATATCCTAATACTCTCAAAACTAATGCAATGATCTGCTAATGACCAGCTGGGAGCGACTCCGGTGGTTGCGAAAATAAGTGAGGTTCTATTGGAAATAATGACAAAATGGCCCAACACTTGATTTATTACCTCAGTAAGTCACTACCATGGCAACATGTCAATCAGGCTAGAGTGACTCGTATCCACTGCACTGTGCAAATTTAACCAGCACCGCTGACAAAGCTTATTAGGAGTCGGGTGTTTTTTTCCGGTAAGTAAATTTTGTTTTAAGCCTGTTTTTCACTAGCCAAAGTTAGCATTCGGGTTTAAAACCACAGTTAACGTGAATTATTAATGTGCCTTGCTAACCAAACTAGCTAGCACCATTGCCTCATCAAAATATCAGTAATCTGGACCAAATAGGCTACCAGCAAATTCCCATCACCCTCAGCTGCAAAATAAATGTTAGCATGCCAACATGCTAAACTGGTAAAGTGGTGAACATGGTGATATTAAACCTGCTAAACATAAGCATGTTTACATTGTCATGTGAGCACGTTAGCATGCTGAAGTTAGCATTTAGCTCAAAGCAACGCTGAAGGACAGCATCACTGAACTTCTATGGTTGGAATCATCCATCCATCCATCCATCTATTCCGCTTATCCGGGATCGGGTCGCGGGGTGGTTGGAATCATAATATAGTTAAATAGGT